TGTACTTGATTTTTTCTTATTTCCATGTGGTGTAGATTGTGCTGAGAATACATTTTAAAAATCTCATGTGACATGTACCAGTTCAAATATAGATCCGGTTATATCTCGGGTGGATTACAAAGTTCTTGGTGCTTGGATGGGTTTAATAAACAAATGAGCCGTGAGAGAGAGAATGAGATGAGTTTAATTAATTGTGGAGGAGGTGTTGTAATTAATTGTGGAGAATGGAATTCAAATAAAATGTATTAGATTAATTCAAAAATTTGTGAGTTTGGGAGAATGGAATTCTAATAATAACAGTATGGAGCCCAATCTAAATGACCCATAAACAATCTAAAATAACCCTAAAAATGTACATAACCTTGAAGCCCCTTAAGGTCATGAAGGAGATGGACAAAAAGTTCAACACAACATTCTAGTGACAGCAAGTTGCACAACTATAAACCAAATAACAAAAATTTCAAGTTAATATTTCTATCACGACAAATAGGCAATTTCATTAATACAAATACCACAATGAGACTTTAAAAACTAATTTTGACAGTAAATTCCAGTATTCACACTTCCTTTGTTTCAGTCTGGTTAGAAATTTTCCCATTTATTTGGCTCTTTATTGTCTCAAGTTGTGTACAACATAACAAAAACAGAAATTCTAAAAATTACAAAACCCACTACCAATTTTTAAAAGTTCAAAAGCTCACTATAACTATAAACTGAACTAACTACACAAAAATCACCTAACTGAACATCTATAAATCTAGAAACAATGAATCAAATGTAAAAGTTAAAAAACGAACTCATCAATAATGAAAATTTAGTGTTTGATTTTTCTTTGGATTTGCAGTACCTTATTCACAAATCACAATAATATGTTTGAATATAGATATTAGACTTTTCTCAAGTGTACAAAGGTTCTAGAGTTCCAAATAGGAGACGTTGCACATGATAATACATATGTAAGCAAATGATCCTTCCAACTGAACCTTTTTATCAAGCATTACACATGCAACCAGTTGTGGCTAATACAAAACACATGAAAGGCCAACTCAATAAATAAAAATAATAATAAAAAAACCAAACACATGGAAGAAGAAATTATTTGAAAACCAACAATGAACAACAATGTACTACCAAATAAACCTTGGAGTTTGAATCATATTTAAAATTTTTGAATGAAAAATGAAGAAACTTACGCACTTTAAAACACCATTGCACTGATGGAACACATACTTGGGTGTCCCAGTGGCATAAGTCTGTCTGATAAACCATCATCAGGAGAAGTGTTCTGCGCCCAAGCTTACTTTCTCCCTGTATTCCAGTCAGTCAACTTCCTATCAGCGCTGTAATTTTGATTTCGAACATAATTCTTCATTTAGTTATCTAAAAAAAAAAGAAGAGCTACATTGGTCTACCTTCTCATCATAATGTGTAAATTGAAGAGCTAGGAAACAAAATTAATGTAGCAGAGGCAGAAATGGGAGGGGAAAAGGAAAAACAAAGAATAATCAATATCTGGAGTTGTAGACATGTTTGAATTTCTACATATTTTAAACAGAATAGAGAACAAAAGGGCAACTTTAAAATTATAAATTTCACGGAGGGCAACAAAAGCTGAAAGAGAAAGAAGGAGAGGAGTGAAACAACAAAATCTGAGAGAAATAACTTACCGGAGTGAGCTCTGATGGGGGAAAGAAGGAAACAACAAAAGCTGAGAGAGAGAAAAGAGAGAGAGAGAGTTTTAAATTTGAAATCAAGAAACCTACGCACTTTAAAATACCATTGCACTGAAGAAATCAAGAAACCTGTTAATCACTTGAAGATACAAAGCAAGCAAGAGAGATGTGATATAGGATTTATGGATACAATCATGGAATTAATTTTCTTAAATAAACCTGATGAAAAGTGCAATAAAATAGAAGCACAAATGACAATTCAATTAAAGAAGAATGCATGGATAGTTTTTTTTTTTTATTTAAGCTTTAAATTTTGGTTCCCCCATGACTAAAAGGATATATTATATTAGAAGTCCTATTGAAATTAAGTTGCCAAACTATAAAACAATATGTGCAGCATATGGATTGTGTTGAGCCATGATACCACTATCAATCATCCCATAAAAACAAATTGAATTAATGATTGGGATCCATTCCACTAATGTAAAGATGATGATAAGATAAACAAATTTACTTATCACACACTATTACTCGTTTGTAAATGGGCATTGGACGTTAAAAAAAAAAATTTAATATAACGGTGATATCATATTAAAAAAAAATTGATCATATCATTGAATTTTTATTTTGTGGATGATGCAGCCATTTTATTGTTCTTGGTTACATTGTTTTATCAAGAGTTGTGCCTCGTTTGGGAATTCAAACTCAAATTTGGAAGAATTGTTAAATACTCTGTTATCCTCAAATGCTGTACAATTCTATGAACCAAACATCTTTGAGGAAAACAAAAAAGAATAATGAAATTGTGAGTTAACATAGCTGAAAAACAACAAAGGAATTGGTGACTTGTTTCCTTCTGTTTGAGTTGATTTTTTGCTAGATGTGCTGTTTCACATTTTTACATCAGATAAAATTGTTACAGAATCTAAATCTTTAATATCAAACACAGAAATTAACAATTTTTATACTGGAATGCAATATTTCAAATAAGATAAATTAGAAATCAAGAAATTTATTGAAATCAATGTATCAAATCTAAAAATTAAGAGCGAAGACTCACTGTCTCGAGGATAAGAACTGAACCGAAACTTCACTGATACAATGATGCTTCCTTGACAATGTTGAAATTTCCTGTTAAAAATAAAATAAAAAGTGTCGAAATTTCGGAGGGAGGGTAACACCATAATAATTGAATCTCATTCTCCAAGCCAAGTCTGGCAATGGTAAGGAAGATCGAAGGTGTTGTGATTGTGTGAAACCACATTTATAAATTGAAGGCACTTTATGGGTACTTTTTTCCGGGAAAAAATTCGTACACAATAACATGAATGTAAACAACAACAACAATAACATCCAATCAAATATAATCGAATTTCACAATGAACTCAAAAAAACCACTAAAATTAACCAAACAACATCAGAAATCGCAATTATTCATATGTAGATACAATTAAAAAATAGACACAGCCCGTCAGAAAGAGAGAGAGAGGCAGGACACGATGAACTCAAAAAAAAAAAACCTAAAATTAACCAAACAGTATCAGAAATCGCAATAATAAAAAAAACACACAGCCCAACAGAGAGAGAAGGGGAGAAGTAGAAACCGAGGACTACCTTGCGAGCCGAGTTCGAGAGGCAGAAATCGAGGACTGGAGATTTCCTCACTATCAAGTGAACATCTTCATTTGCTCTATGGCCAGATCTGCATGTCAAGTTTATGTTTAAAAGATGACTATCCAGTCTTCAATCATTAATTAAGAAAAATAAATAAACGAAGATTGAGCACATTGATACATTTCTAGTATAACCATCATCAAAGTATCCAATTCAAATTAAAACCAAAATCAAAATTCGTTATAATCATAAGTATTTTGAAGTTCACCATTTATCATTTAGAAAGTCCAAACATAAATTTATGCCACAAAACAAAAACAAAAAAACAAAACAAATTTATACTATCTATCAAGTAAATCAACAACCAACATAAACAACAACCAACAAAACCAACTTTAATCTTCAGTAGCTTTCCCAGAACTATATGTTAATATTTTAAATAACAAATTTTAATTGATCTCTAAGTGAGTTACTCGAAGCTTTCCCTGGTCTTAAGTTTACAATCTCCTTTTCTAATGGATTTTCACCACCATATATGCACCATAAATACTATAATTTACATCTAGTGTAGCGTAACAAATCCCATATTTCTCATATTCAAATGCGGACCTGCTGTAGATTTCCTCACTGTCAAGTGAACATCTTCATTTGCATTATGGCCAGGTCTGCGTGTCAAGTTTATGTTTCAAAGATCACTATTCAGTCTTCAATCATTAATTCAAAAAAATAAATAAATGAAGATAGAGCACATTGATACATTTCTAGTATAGCCATCAAAATATCCAATTCAAAAAATTAAATCTATTCAAGGTTGAAGAATATATGCCACTGTCAAAAGAAGCAAATAATACACTATCAACAATCCCTTGGTATAATATATGAAGTTTGTCCCAGTGAAGGAAGTGTAGGTAATACTGTAGGAGCTATAGAAGGCAAGGAATATATAAATTAAGATTAAAATATATATATAATTGTGACAGGGTGCTTTTGTGGGAGAAAATTGAAAGGATGTAGCATGCAAAGCAATACAATATGAAGTGGGTTTAAGTCAATTGAAATGTTTAAGTTTGACATCAGAACTTAATTACAAAATTAGCATGCAGAACAATACAGTAGATACTTAAAAAATCAAAAGAAAGAGAAAGGGTATGCAGTCACTGTCCCAAATTCGCATGTGCTTCCTTCCATGTAGGTTCAAACAGACACATACAATACACAACTCAAAATGTTCACTGTGATCTGATTCCCAATCCATAGTGTTGTAGCATACATTGTGTTGAGTCTGTATTGGATGTTTAAAACTTATTTAAAAAAATAGTAATAATACTGTACAAAAGTATGAGTTAGTGATTTGTTTGATAATATAAATATTTTTCGTATTTATAATTAGTTACTTATTGATTGAGAAATAAAAAAATAAAAAAAGTATGAATAGAGCTGTGGTCTATTTCAAAGTATTGAAGAATTTTACTTGAAGCTTTCCTTGAACACATTCTGTTTGAGCATGAAGTGGGTTTTGCATCAACAACAGCAGTGGTGATGATGAGCAGCGGTGGTGGTGTTGCAACCATATAGACAAACCAGACATAGCCATAAACTGATCTACTGGAATGCAATAAACTGATCTACGAAATTAGAAATCAAGAAATTTATTGAAATTAATTAAAAGAAGTAATAAACTGATCTACGAAAGGGGAGAGGCAGAAATCGAACCTTGCGAGTGCGAGTGCGAGTTCGAAGGGAGGGTGGTTGTCGATGCTGAAATTTTTATTCATACGAAACAAATTGATTGGAAAAAAAACCTAACTTGGATCATCATCCGTATATCATCACCAACCTGAAAAAGTGAAACAAAGAGAAAAAAGATTCATCAAATACCAGTTTCATTTTAAAAATAACACCTTTTTAAAAAATAACAGAGATTGCCCGTGCCTGAAGGCACTATCTAATAAAATTCTTATATTACAGTCTATGTGTTGCAAAAATGTTAACGATCATAAAAATGTTTTATGAAAAGTGTCTCAAAGTTGTGATCAAATAGCCAAAAATGTTCAGGATCAATCAATCGACCTACAAATGTTAGATGATTTTTCATAAAACTACTTAAGAGAAATTATGTAGTATACCCAAACAAATATAGCCTTAAATAGTATATCAAAAAAAAAAAATAAAAAAAAAAATTAAATAGTGTGTGGTTTAACTCGGTTACAGTCGAATTCACATGTGAAGTGAATTTAAAACATACATTACTTTATTGACATTTGTTTTGTGTTTGAATTCTTGATCTATATATTATTTTTCTTAGTATTTTTTAACGTATGAAGTAGCTGACATTATTTGATAAGCCACTTTGTAGGTGAATCACCTCAATTTCTTAATTATTGTTCTTAAAAAGCAACTAATATGCTATTTCCAATATTTTTTATTAATCCATTAAATTAGAGCTACCCTTAATAAAATAAGGGGAGAAATGATGGGAAGTGGTCAATGTATACGTCCCAAAAAAAAAAAAAAAACAAAAAACAAACAAAAAAATAATAATTGGAAAAAGAATTCACACCAATAAAAAACAATCTCTTCTAATTTTATATGTAATGATATGACAAATTACATATTAACTTTTGATTTATTACAAATTCAATCATGTAACTCAACTCCATTGCGATGTCATTGCAAATGAATTGTAAATTCCAAAGTGCAAGTCTTTAACATTAATCTAGAAGAGTTGCCCTCTATCTTTCGTAAACAAAATTCTTGTTCTTTCAATTAAAATTCGCCAAGAAATAGATAATTAAATGTGTTGCTAATAATAAATTTAAATATATCTAAAATAAAACATCATTTTCTTATGGAGAGTTATATAATTGGAAAGATCCCAAAACTAAATTAAATACGACAGTAATTCCATGTACGCATAAAAATCAGAAAAACATGCACACAAAATCAATATGCAAATTGATTCTAGGTAAAGTGAAGACTACAACCATAATGAATTTAAACCACATTAATTTTTCTATATATAAATTGTAGTGCTCTTAATGGTTCCATTCAGCAGAGAAACATTTGGGTCTAACCCCAAATAACACTTCAGCTACATATTTAGCAGTCCTTGCCGGTTCCATGATGTTGTATTGGGATATTAAATTTGTGGAAAAATAAAAATAAAAATAAAGAATAAGTGAACAAAGTAAAAGCTCATTGCCAATCATGATACATTTCAGACCCAAAATTTTTTAAAAAATTAAATCCAAACCCATAAGCTACAAAAAAATAAATAAATAAATAAAAATTGGGATAAGAATGCACAAACAGAACACCAAAAACCCTCTTCCCTTATTATATAGAGATATGTTTGATAATACAGATGTTTAGTGAGAAAACAAAATTTTAAATTTGGATGATTTCCACTTCTATTTCTTTACATTCAATAGAAGGGAAATAGGAGCTCAAACTCAGGAATCGCACCTGGCAAGAGAGCACCACAGGCCTTAGAAATTGAAAAAGCTAGAAAGATAACAATTATGTGACTTGGCAAAAGAATTTAAAATAGCAATGATATGATTAAAGTCAAATGAATAGAGGATAAAGTGGTGTAAAGGTAAAAAAGAAATTACCAGCCAATGCCAACCACCAAGACCAACAGCCTTCTTGACGACACCTTGTTCTGTTGTTCTGTAGTTTCCTGTTACATTAACTTTGGTGTACCTAGGAAGAACAGAAAGCTCTTCATCCCCGCTTTCTTCCCGAAAAGGTAAGAGAATCAGAGAAGAACATAAATTTCCCCTAAATTTCCCACTTGACAATTTCGAGCAACAAATAGAAATCAAACCCAGTTACTTCAAAAATAAGCAAAACACATCCGATTAAAATGCCTAAAACATCTAAATTTAGTCGAAACCTTCCTTGTCATAAGCAGCTGATATTAAAAAAAATAAAATAAAATAAAATAAAAAAAACCAAATTCATTAGAAGAACACCCATCAAAGCAAATTCGGTCTTCACTATTCAGTACCTAGAAGCAAAAATGTTGTATAACCTAGTATTCATATTGAATTGCAGACCCAGAAGAACCCATAAACTTCAATTCATAGAGTGTCTCTTGTTCTAATTTGTACTTGGACTATTCTCTTCACACATTTCAATTGAATGAAGCTATGGTATTACTGAAGATGAAAACAATAAAGATTGAGGGTATGAGAGAGAGTGAGAGAGAGAGAGAGAGAGAGAGTTCTGTATTAATGTTGATTCTTCAAGGGGTCTGACACAAAATTTTGAAGGGAATGTTGAATGCGATGAGCCACAAAGTTCAATGGGCCTCTCAAATTCACGGATTTAGTTTGACAGCAATAAATGAGCAGCAAATTAAAAAAAAAAAGAAACGTTTTACAAACTAAAAAATAAAATAAAATAAAATCATACTCGCTATCCTAAAAAAACCCAATTTACCTTTCAGCTTTCTCTCACTAATTCGAACAATTATCAGAAAAGTACACATACTGAAAAAGAAACTTGAATTCTTGAGGGGGTGAGTGTTGGTTGACTAAAACAGAAACCAAATAAGCCCTAGAATTTAGAAATTCAAGAAAAGGTCGCGAAACAGAAGCAGAGAAACAGAACATACCTGGGGTGAGTGTTGGATGACTAAAACAGAAACCAAATAAGCCCTAGAATTTAGAAATTCAAGAAAAGGTCGCGAAACAGAAGCAGAGAAACAGAACATACCTGTTCACACGACTCCGAGAAAGTAACAGAAGCAGAGAAACACTGAATGCGAGAGAGAGAGAGAGAGAGGCGAAACAGGGGTTTTCTTCGGCAAGAATTCGGAATTTGGGGTGGGATTGGAGTGGAACGCTATGGATCTGAAGGGAGAGGGAATCGAAGGTTTGAATTTGAAGGTGGGTTTTGAAGGTGGGTACTTCAGTAGAAAATTTTCGCTACGGATCGAACAGAAAAAAATTTTGAAGGTAGAAAATTCAGTAGATCAGTTTGGGCACTTCAGTATTTGATCGAACAGAGTGAATACCAAAAAATAAAAAAATACAACAAAAAAAAATTGATAAACTGATCAACTTTCAAATAAAAAATTTTCTAAATTTCGTAGATCAGTTTAGGCACTTCAGTATTTGAATTGGCACAACAAAATTCCCCACGAAAATAGAACAAATTTCGCCATTCCCCATTTTGTACGATAAGCTGATCAACTGTGCGATAAACTGATCAACTTTCTACCATCAAATTTTCAAAACATACCAAAAAAATTTTCACCATCAAATTTTGAAGGTAGAAAATTCAAATTTTGAAGGTAGAAAAATACCAAAAAACCAAAATCAAGAAGGTAGAAAATTTTTTCTACCTAAAAAATTTTCGCAGAGAAACAGAACATACCTGGGGTGAGTGTTGGTTGTATTTTAGATCGAACACTGCGAAAATTTGATTTATTTCTACTGGAATGTGAACAGATCGAACACAGTAGAAAATTTCAAATGTGAAATAAAACCAAAATCAAGTAATTTGATTTATTTATCTTATATACCTAATGACAACACAGAGAGAAGGCAAAAACCTAGAAATAAGGCGATTCTTTAAACCCTAATTAAATTTCTATTCCACTCCATTTTCTTTAAACCCTAATTACTTACTTCAGAGAGAAGGCGATTCTTGGAAAGAAGTTTGGGCACTTCAGGAGGTAGAACCACAGGTCTGCAAAATCAACAAATCAATAACCAAAGAAGTCGAAATTTCCAATTTTTTTTTTCCATCAATCCGATGTGGCAGCGCCGACGCCGGCGAGGCGAGAACTATTGAATCAATCCTATGGGCAACGATCAGATCTCGACCTCCTTCCGAAGATCGATCAGATCAAGCCCTAGATCGAACACATCTCAGCCATTGATGACGTCCTTCAGCAATGCTATCTGATCTCAGATCGGTTGTGAAGCACAGTAGGGAGAGGGAGAGGGAGAGGGAGAGAGAGAGAGGGAGAGGGAGTTGAGGACAACGTTTGGGTACAGGCAGCCGTGTTTGGTAGGCGTGGGAGAGAGAGGAGAGGGTGTTTGGGCGGGAATCAAACACATCCCAACCATTGATATATATTTGGGATTGATCTCAGCCATTGGATCAAAATGACCAATCCGTTATTTATGGTTCTTAACAAATTGGAACCAATCCAATCCGTTTAAATCATGGAACCAATCCGAACCAATCCATTTAAATACGGATTGGATCGGTTTAGGACCACGGATTCACATAATTAAATAACAAAAATATATTTATAACACTTTAATTTTATAAAAATATAAACATAGCGCTATATTAGTTCCACAATAGCAGCATATTTTTCTATAATAGCGACATACTGTTCTAAAATTTAAACAACCATAAGAAAATTTGGTTTCACTATAAGTATTTAAACCATTATAAATTAAAACTAAAAACCAACAAACAAGAGTAACAAAAGAAAATATTATACGGTTTTAGGTTTAAGTTTATATTTTATATAGAATTAAGAGAAGATACTATGGGGGAGGATGTATAATAAAAATATAGACTATTTGTATACGGTTCGGATCGGTTCCAATCCGGAACCGTGGGATTCAATCCGGAACCAATCCGTGTACTACGGATTTTTAATTTTTCAATCCGGAACCGAACCACGGATTCAAAAAACCAAACAACAACACCAATTATACAATGACAGAATCTACGGAACCTAAGTCCGGATACAATAATCAAATGGGAAAAGACCGGGGTCGCTATAGAGGCAGCCGTGTTTGGTAGGCGTGGGAGAGAGAGGAGAGGGTGTTTGGGCGGGAATCAAACACATCCCAACCATTGATATATATTTGGGATTGATCTCAGTCATTGGATCAAAATGTATCTCACATACATTTTGATACATTTTTCAAAAAGCTTTGTGCCTTATTATATAGATTTTTTGTAGTAGTGAATTTTTAGAGGAAGATCACCAAAAAAAAATAAAAATAAATGAAAATAAAAACAATTTTTAATTTTAATTTTTTTTGAAAAAATTAAAACTAATTTAAGAAGTATAAAAATCAAAAATATATTTTTTAAATTTTAAAAATTATTTATGACCTCCTAAAAGATAAAATTATACAAAAATAATAAGTACTTTTTAATTTTTTCACCAATTTTTTTTTTTAGTTTTTTAGAAAAAAAAAATTTGAAACAAGTTTCTGAAAATAAAACCAAATATATTTAAATTGATAATCTAACTACATTCTTTGGAAAAGTTTAGGTTATTTCAAATTAGCCATCTAAACTTAAGAGTGTGTTTGAGCTTGATAAGTTCATTTTGTGATCTAATTCGATGATCAATTTAATTTTACAATTTAATAACTAAAATATTTAAAACTTTTTAAAAAGTTATAATAAAAACACAATTCACCAAATCACCAGTAGTGGATTGATAGTGGCGGTTCGCCCGTGGTTTTTGATTACAATTGAAGGCTCTTCAATTGTGGTTTTTTCCACGTAAAAAATTGTTTGTGTCAATTGTTTATTCTCAAAAACAAACTAACTAAAATCACTCTCGTAAGTGTTTGATGATTTTAGGTTGAGTGTTTTGTTTTATTGGGTTTTTGGAATTAGTTATCTTGATCTAATCATAAATCACATAGGATTTTCACACTAACAAAACTTTTACCGACGAATAATGTTATCGTCGCTAAATGTTGAACTCTTTACCCACCGCAACTTGTCATCGCCAAAAGTAAGCATACTAATAGCGACGCTTATTGTGTTGCTAAAAAATAAGCCTCGTAACTAAAATTTTTGAAATTTTGGCGCCAACCAATAATTTTGGCGCCTAATGAATGTTATGCTTTTTTAGCGACGACTGTAAATTGCGTCGGTAAAGGTCTATTTTTACCAACGAAATTGATCACTGCGCCGCCAAAAATATAGTTTTGGCTATGAAAAATTGACGTCGTTGCCAAAAATGGTCGCCAAAAGTGCAATTTCTTATAGTGAGGTAACATTTGAATATTTGACCAAGGGGGAGTTAGAATTGCCCGTGGCCATTGCTTAGCGGTTGAGTGGAAATAGTGCTCCACGGGGAGTTACTTGAACTTATCTAATAAACTAAATCTATGAAGATTTAAAAAGAAAAGTGGACATTTTCCTTTTGATGAAATACTGCCTCTGTTTGTCATTTTTATTTAATTATTATCTATTGTTATTATTTCAACTGATGGCATTCCTATTATGCTTATTAAATGCTACCTATTATTCTGTTATTACGCATTATTCATTGTGAGTATTATTATCGGGGTGGGAATTTCGGGTTGTAGTATCTTATTGAGCTCATCACTCATTGGCATCCTCGTTGCCTTGGCGTTTCATGCCAGGTACCGAAGAAACCGAAGGAAACACCGAGGTGTTAGAAGGCAACATTCAGCCTTGATTAGCTTGAAGCGTGCCAAAGTTCCATGAACCATTTTTCTAAGTTTTCTAGTTTTTCTCTAGTTTTTTTTTTTTTTTTTATTTGTGTACTAAGACAAAGTTTTAAGTTGACTGGAGTTGTAATTTAAGAACTTTTAGGCTCTATTTGTTTGTGCTCGGAAAATAATTTTCAACACTTGAGTTTGAGCATGATGTTTGGTAAGAGTTTTGGAATTAATTTTCCAAAACTCTGCCAGAAGCTCGGTCTATATGTCAAAGCATTCTGTTTGTTGCAGAGGGGGCGTTTGAGGGAACGGGACGTCTGGCCGGTTGACCGGCAGGCTGTTCGAAACAGTGAATTTTTTTTTTTTTTTTTTTTTTTTTTTTGCAATTGATTTATATAATCGGGAAAAATATTTTCTGAAAAATTTTAAATTTTTTATATGCTTTAAAATAATTTTGAGTTGTATATTTAGTTATGAGTTGTAAATTTTTGTATCACATATCAAATGTCACATCAACAATTCCCCACTCAAATCAAACCTCTTTTCCAAAACTATTTTCAAAACTCTTTACCAAACAAATTTTCTACACTCAAATCATAATTGTACAACACACAAACTCAAAATATAACTCATACTCTCAAATCATATTTACAAAATACAACCAAACGCAGGCTTAGTTTTGGTGTTGTTAATTAATGGATGATGGAAAATTTGGTGGCAACATTAATGAGGATTCTTAATTAAGAAAATTGATTTTAAGTTTTAAACCTTATTATGATGTCCCCAAATTTTGGGGCGTCACATGAACAAATTCTTCTTTGGTCATATTCGTCATCTGCAGATATTCAAAAGAAGCAAAGAACAAACCAAACCCACTAGTGAAAACAACAATCCTTGGTGTGAAATGATTAAAAAGAATGTGTGCATTTTCCAACCTGTTTCAAATCATCTTCATAATCGCTAAGATTAAAATTAATGTCAGCTTCAATACCGCGGAACTTGATTGCAGCTCGATCATATGCTCTAATATCATAAAGAAAAATGAGAATTAACCAAGACAACTTAAAAACAAATATGTGTAAAATCAACTCATTATCATGATTTTTTTTAAAAAAATGTATTAGATATTAATATTATAACACATACTTTCAAACACTTATAATTTCAAACACATACTTTCAAACACATTAATTAACACATACTTTTTTTGTGTTTTTCGTGACAAAGATCTCAATCTCAGAATACATACACAGATAATCTCAATCTCATAATACATACATAGAGAATCTGTGTATGTAAATTTCATACACAGATTTACATAAACAGGTTTAGAAAATAATGACGAGTAGAACACAAGACAGAAAATTTCAATGAAAATAATCAGAATACATGAGATTAGATAGACAATCAATGAGTACCCATACATGCAAATACAAAGATAATCAATGGATTAGGGCTTTGAAAATAATGAGAGAGAAAGGAAAAAGAGGCGGAAAGGCA